TACACCGTTCTGCTGTGGTGTCTTCCTGACAGTATGATGCCGACCTATACCCTCATCTGCACAGAACTGATTAAACTCGTCTTTGCAAAACTCTAGCCCATTGTCCGTTCGTAGCTTCTTGATCTTCCTTCCTTGTCGATTTTCCACCAAAGCTTTCCATTGCTTGAAAACTTTGAAGGCCTCATCCTTTGACTTAAGCAACCTAAGCCATGTGTATCGGGACTTGTCATCAACAAATGACACAAAATAGTGGTAACCTCCCATACCTTCAACTCTAGATGGACCCCAGCAATCTGAATGGATGTAATCGAGCACTGCATCAGTAATGTGAGCACCCTTGCTGAACTTTGACCTGTGTTTCTTACCAAACACACAATGCTCACAAAATTCAAGGTTGGCAACCTTGACCCCGGATAGAAGACCCCTCTTGGACAATAGCTGCATCCCCTTCTCCCCCATATGACCAAGCCTCATGTGCCAAATCTTAGTCATCTCCTGGTGAGATACAGATGCGCAAACCGCAGAACTAGGCAGTGTAACACCCTCAAAAACATAGAGGGTGTTCCTTTTGATACCCTTAAGTACCAACTCAGAACCTCTGAAAATACACAACTCCCCATCTGAAAACACACCATTGTACCCCAATTCATCCAGGGTACCCAATGAAATCAGATTCTTTCCTAAAGCAGGAACATGCCGTACATTAGTCAAAGTTAACCTCCGCCCATCAACAGTCCTCAACCTCATGGAACCAATACCTGTGACCTTACATGGAGCATTGTTACCGACTATAACCATACCCCCATTGCGAGGTTCATATGTATCAAACCAATCTCGACGTGGACACATATGGAACGAACACCCCGAATCTAGAACCCAGTTATCAGATAAATCATCAGACCTAGCAGAACTGACTAATGCTAAATCTTCCTCTGAATTATAGCTCTCATTCGGTTTCTCTTCAACTACAGCAGCCTGGGACTTGTTTTTCCTCACCGGACAATTATTCCTAAAGTGACCCGGTTCTTTACAGTAATAACATGTTTTAGTAGTAGTTTTACTAGATCCATCCTTGCCGTTTCCAGCACCCGACCCAGCATTGTTCCCCTTGTTAAACCCCTTATTCTTTTTAGACTTTCCGGACTTAACAAACAACCCACTACCATTATCCCCATTATCACTCGTAGCTTTCATTCTGAGTTCCCTAGTATGAAGTGCTGCCTTCACTTCTTCTAAGGTTATAGAATCCTTACCAACAACAAAAGACTCTACAAAATTCTCAAAGCTAGACGGTAGAGATACAAGTAAAATCAACGCAGCATCCTCATCATCAATTTTAACATCTAAATTACGTAAATCAAGCAAAATAGAGTTAAGTTTTTCTAGATGTTCCCGTAAGGAAGTACCTGACTGCATCCGGAGGCTAAACAACCGCTGTTTCAGTAATAATTTGTTGGTCAACGACTTAGTCATATACAATGACTCCAGCTTCAGCCACAATCCAGCCGCCGTTTCCTGATCAGCCACCTCCGTGATGATTTGATCATCAAGACTAAGTAATATGGTAGAGTGTGCCTTCTCTTCCATAACTTCTAACTGCGAGTCAGTCGGTCCGTCTCCTGACTCCGAAGTAGTACTCTTTGGAGCCAACGGACGCCATATCTGCTGTTGTTTTAACAGAGCCTTCATCTTAATTTGCCATAGCCCGAAACTATTTTTCCCGGTAAACTTCTCAATTCTTATTGTTGAATCTCCTGCCATTGTTATCTTCAAGAAACTATCCAAGGATTGAACCTGAGCTCTTGATACCAATTGTTGTGCGACAGCGGAAGCAAAGGTCGTAAACAAACAAGAAAACAATAAAGAAATTCAATGCAAACAATAAGAACAACACCAAGAATTTACGTGGTTCACTATCGATGTGATAGCTACGTCCACGGGCACCGAGATCGAATGATTTCACTATAAACTGCAAAGATTACAAAGATGATTCTTGTATTTCTCAAGAACGGCTCTCACTCTGTCTCTCTTAACCCTAATACTGATATTAGGGAGGTTTTATATTAATCCCTAATTAAAAGATACTTGGGCAAAAAGATAATAAAATAAGATAACCTAAAACCGCAAAATCCGCGTTCCGTATTTTTCCTTCTCCGCCCGGTCAGACCGGGCAAGGTCTGCCCGATCGGGCGCGAGAAGAAAACTCCATACGAATGCTTCAACGTATCCAACCCCCACCGCCCGGTCAGACCGGGCAAGGTCTGCCCGATCGGGCGAAGGCTCGCCCGGTCGGGCGAAGGCTCGCCCGGTCGGGCGCGAGAGCAGCTTCTTCAACGAATTTGCCAGGCACCTCTTCTTCTTCCGCCCGGTCAGACCGGGCAATGTCCGCCCGATCGGGCGGACAAAGCTACGAAGTACGAGTCACCTAATATACTTATCAACAAGATCGAGTAGGTAACTCCCTTATTAGACGACTTTGTAATGTGAACGAACACGCTCGAGCAATTCTTCAATTGAAACAATATCAAATAAAATGAATTACCACCATTATCATCTCTGAGTTAATTAGCCAAATATTATTAATCTAAACAACTTCTATCCATCAATGAGACGATGACACGATTACCTGATTGTTCATGCCAATTAAGTATCAAACAATTTAATTTACTCGTTCATTTCCTCTTACATAGTTGTCCTATATTGTCATACCATTTGCACAATACCATATCATTCAAAACAAACTCATCATTGTGAAATGTCATCTGTTAGGTACCTTTTACAAATATATTTCGTTCATTCATTTGTGATTTTTATATTGCTACTTTTATTATATATAAATAACATTAAACGTGACAATAAAATATACAATAGCCAGCTAACTATCTTACACGTAGTATAATATTATTTCTAAATTCAAGTGAGAAAATAAATTAGCAAACATAAAAAAAATATAACAATATAACCCAAAATCGGCAATAAAATCACATGGACATACCATATCATGAGCTAAAAAACACCTAGCAACAACCAATAAGTGTTGAATTTTTTGATTAAGATGGAAAACACACGTAACTGAAATTATTTTTGGAACCTTTTATGACTTTTACTCGACTAATTTGAACCCTTTTTTTCCTCCTTAATTCTTCATGAGTCTTATCTTTCATTTGACTAACTTGATATTTGTTCTTTTTTGGCCTGTTCTTTTCAGCTTAATTTCAGTCCAGCTCCGTTAAATTCCAATTAGTTCAACTTCAATCAGTTCATTTTAGCTCCTAATTTTCTTCTCTCATAAACAGTTCATTCAACTTCAGTTCACCTCAATTCAGTATATCAGAACAGACCCTTAGTCATTTTATTTTATTTTTCTTTTTCAGTTGAATGGTATCACCAAACTTGCATGCAATGAGTGTTACCTTGTTGAAGGATGATATGATACCAACACATCAATAGTTCAACACATTTTACTCAGCTTATTTTTCGTCTTATTTTAGTTGTATGAAGGATCTTTCCTAGCAATTTCACTTGCTCGCTTTTATCTTGTAGTTATAGTGTGATACGTAGAAAAACTCTGCAGGGTATTGTACGTAAGTTTCGTGAGTGGTGACACTAAAATGTACTTCGTATACAATACATAGATAGTATAAAGTATTAGGAAAATAACGTATGAAATCAATGATGGTTTGAATAAACTAGTAGCAGATTGGGTCTATATCTGCGACTTTCTTATAATAAGCTTTTGCTTTTGCAAAACCTTTATGGTAATTAAGCAACGGAGGGAGTGTACGTAATAACTAACTCCATTGGAATTAGGGTCTGTTCTGATTTAATGAATTGAACTGAACTGATTGGAGCTGAACAAAAACTTTTATGAGAGAAGAAAATTAGGAACTGAACTGAATTGAAATAAGTTGAAGAGAACATGACCTACTAGACAAAAATAAAAATAAAAATTAAGATTAGACTATTTTTTAGTTACGATTTCTTGTTGCCAATTACATTTAACTCTACCTTAATAAAATTAAAACTAACAAGGGTTTTAGGCTTTTAGCTAGGATTGTTGCTCCCAAAATCAAACTTAGAAGTCGTTGCTTTCTAAGACTTTACTTCAATTTTCCATCATTAAGTACAATACAACCCTCTTTCATTTCGTACACGCATCAAAATACGGTATATATGGCCGTATATTATTATTCTTCGTAGGCAAAATAATTAATTATGATGATTATTCATACCATCTCTATAATTATTTCAAGTTTTTCTTACCTTAACATGTTTTTTGGTTAACTCAACTTATTTTTAGCAAAGTTTCAGCTTTTCGATTTCTGATTGATAAGGTTTCCGACCGTTTGTCTCACTTTGCTTCCCTCCACCTTACTGCAGCAGCAAAGTTGGTTATCATTAACTCAGTGTTGGTGTCTTCATTTAATCATGTCTTGTCCGTCTTTAAGGTGCCAGTCTCGATCTGTTGCTATATTGATAATCTGTTGGCTCGGTTCTAGAAGAGGTCTTCTTCTTCTTCGAAAGGTATAGCGTTTCGTTCAGCCTCGCTCCTGTACCTTCCGAAAGGTTTAGGAGGGTTGGGTCTCCGTAGTTCAGCCTTGGTTAATGAGGCTTTACTTGCCCGTCAGCGTTGGAGCCTTTTCCAACATCCCCAACTTCTTATGTCAAGAGTTTTACAAGCCAAGTATCCTTTTCTTCGTTCTCTTGGCTCCGTTAACTTTTCCCGGTCATCTTGGGGGTGTCGGGGCCTGCTGGAAGGCCAATCTGTTTTGGGAAAGGGTTTAGTTTGGAAAGTTGGTTCAGGTTCCCAGGTTAGAACCCTTGACGATGATTGGGTTCCTTGAGGTTTGTCTGTTAAACCTTCAGATTCGGATGTACCGACTCACATTTCTTCTTTTATTATTTTGCGTTCTGGCGTGTGGGACTCATCTAAGATACATCGACTCTTTGATAGTCAGACAGCCCAGTGCATTCTAGCGCTTGAAAGGCCACATTGAGCCATGGATGATTTTGTTTATTGGAAATTAACTAGGGATGGTGGTTTCTCTACTAAATCGGCCTACTCTCTCCTGGTTCGACAGTCCGTCGTTTCGATTGTCAGCACTCCAGCTCCTGATCAATGGTGGAAATCCTTTTGGGGTCTTCCCCTTCTCCCTCGCTTTAAGTTGTTTTGTTGGAAGCTGCTTCATGATGCCCTACCTTTATTGGCCACTTTATTTTCCAAGGGTCTTCCAGTGGATCCGGTCTGTACTTTCTGTTGTCTGGATCTTGAGACGACATCTCATCTTTTCAGAGACTGTCCTTTTATTCGTATCCTTTGGAACTCGACTCTCCTTTCACTGAATGGTACCTTACCGGAGTCTACGTCATTTACTGAATGGGTGGTGTCTGTGGTCTCGTACTTTAGGAGGTCCAAGGATTTGGTTAGTCTGACATCCTTCGTTTCTCTCCTGTGGGCCATCTGGATTGTTCGGAATGGTTGTGTTTTCAGGCAGGCAATTTGGTCCCCCTCTTTATTCCATCATCTTTCTCAAGATTGGACAGATAGAGTTGTTCAAGCGCAAGAGTTCCATCGTCACCTTACATCCTTGGCAAGGAGTTCTCCTAATCCGTGTCAAGAGTTGGTGCCTTTGTGTCTGCAGGGGAAGCTCTCGGATCCCCTCGATCATTGTCTTGTTTTTTATGGAGCATGGCTTAGTCATGACAATTGCACAGGCACAGGTTGGATTGTCAGAGGGGTCACCTCGGATACAATACTTGGAGGTGGGGCACGAGTCTGTCGAGTTTCTAATGCTCTTCAGGCGGAATTACAGGCCTGCTTGTGGGGCCTTAGGTTGGCCTTGCGTAGGGGTTTTCTTAGTCTCCTCATTTACAAAGATTGTGCCCCTCTAGTTTCCTTGTTTCGGCTTTCTGGTACCTTTGATATTTCCTGTTTGTGGTTGCTTCGCGAGATTCAAGAACTCCTTCCCCAGTTTTCAGTCTGTCATCTTTGTAAGGTACCTCGGAATTGGGTTGCTCCTGCGCACTGGTTGGCTGTTGGAGCTCGTGATCGACGCTTCCTTTGTTGGTCTTTTTAATTGTAGTTGTCGTTTTGTCTGTTTTGTTAGTGATCTTTGTCAAAAAAAAAAAAAATTATTTTTAGCAAAAAATAAATAAAATTACTAATGACGAAATTTAATCATATAAATAGAAAAGAGCCTTACTCTCAAAGAACTCAAAAATAAAAATGATACTCCGTACGTGTCATTCGTATCGTAAATGACGGAGTTAATGATGGACTAATCTTGCACTTATGCACAAACCCCCCTCATCAAGCAATAAACATTCAATTATCATAAGATCTGCAGATTGAGTTATGACACGTGTCTGCATTATAGTTAAGCACCAGTGATTAAACATTTTGATTAAACATTCTCTTAGATGGTTTCAATCGATGCCAGATATTCAGCTTCATTAGTAAGTAATTTGTATATTTATTAAACATTTTTTTTATTTAGTTATTATTTCAAGTAAAGAATTGAAGTTTGTACTTTGTAGTAGTAATACTTTGCATGTGCTCACTCCGTTATGTTCTACTCACCTAATACATTTTTCATTCATGAAGTTTTCATTGAACTGAAAAAATAATAATTAAAATTGAATTTTGCTAATAATAATTGAATATTAATTATTGAAATTAAATTTAAATGATTGAAAAATTGAAACTGATATTTACCTAATTATTCTAGGAGTTCTCAATTTTAGAATATAAATTAAAAAACATCATCATCAAAGAGAGATTTTGTTGAATAATCTATAGTAAATTAATTAGTAATACATGTTTTTAAAATATCTAATTTTACTAAGAGTATTACTTAATTAAATTAAAGGTATTTTTGTCAATAAGAATATAGTACGTATAAAGATATCGTCGAATATGGCTTGAATTTTTTAAATCCGAAAAAACATAATTTGATTATATTATTATTATTATTATTATTATTACTATTATTATTAGTATTATCTCAAAAACAAAAGTCATACAACCTACAATAAATTAGTGGGAAGCCGAGATACAATCTGGGCCCCCACTCCTCTAGCTATTGCAAATCCTACCTTAGTGAAGATATGAGCTGCAGCACGAGCCCCAATGTCTTGCGTCGTCGAGAACCTCTGAATCCGCTTTAGTAACGCAACAACCTCTTTCTCTAATTCCCCAAGCGAAGAAAAGGAGAAGGGAATGAAACCATATCCAATCGCCTGACATCGAGCTTCATACTTAACCCACTTCCGATGAGCTGCATCAGCCACAACCCGCCCAGGAATGAAGTCAGATAGCCCTGATTGTGTCAAAGGAGAAGACCCTGTCAAATCAACACAGACATCGCGACCACGATTCATGAATAAAGTAACACATCCGCGGGTCTGAGGGCCTCGTCGTTCCCTCAGGCCAACCCAATGTCAACCTCTTTTCTCGTTGAAATCCCAGAACGATATCAAACATCAACAAGGGTATCCCGAACAACATTATGCCAATGTTTAATACCCACAATACCAGCACAAGACACCACGTGATCACCGAAAATATCTCCAGCAAAAACCCTCGAACAAGCAGAGCACAACGTCGAGATAGAGAACAATGGAACACACAACCGATAGGACAACACACAACGATAAGTCTTGGCGTTCATCGTTTGACCCAACCCTGAAATAGGAACCGCCCGAAGCCAAGCAGAGGTGTGATCACCCTGCTGTGATTTCCATAATGCTGATTGTCGAGGAGTTAAAGAATAAGCAGATTCTGCAGAAGCGGTAACCTTTGTGAATTATTATTATTATTATTATTATTATTATTATTATTATAAAAAAAACAAAACGTACAGAGTCAATCAATTTACAAGAAATTGGTAGGGAGCCGAGATACAATCTGGGCCCCCACCCCTCTAGCTATAGCGAACCCGATCATGCTGAAGATGTGAGCAGCTGCACGAGCACCAATATCCTGAGTCTTAGCGAACGCCTGAACCCGCTTCAGCAACGCAATAGCATCCTTCTCTAATTCCCCCAACGAAGAAAAGGAGAAAGGAAGAAAACCATAGCCAATAGCCCTGCAACGCGCCCCATACTTATTATTATTAATAATAATATTATTATGAAATAGGGTAAATATATGAAGAGATCGAGATGGAGTAATAAATGAGTGCGTGTAAGAAAAAATTAACTAAATTACGGTTAAAATATAGGTAACAATAAATCTAACAACCGAAGTTGGTAGAGTGTACAACAAAAGTGAAACTCGTAGAAATGAAAAGTGGGTAAAATAAAAAAGATATGAAAAGTGGGTAAAATAAAAAAGATTGAAGGTGTACATATTATATTAAGCATATGTACGAGGAAACAATATATTCATATTTAAACTCATCATGTATGTGAATCATTAATTATTGAAACGTAAATAAGCAGAGTATATTCCTAATTCATCGGCCAGCAATTTCTTGGTTGCAATAATAAAATTCCAGGCTATCCGACCAGCAACAACTTGCAAGTGCCACTTTAAATGGTTGACTTCAAGATTCCTATGCATGCTAGATTTGCTTCACAAAAGGACTACCCTTTTCAGAATTGTCCTTGAAAACTTGGGAAACCACCCTTTAATTTGCATCTAATTTATTGCATATATGCTTATATATGTAATCTTTGTAACATTAGAGCTCCTAATAAGGTAGTTTTGACACTATGAATAGTTTAACGAACTAATTATTTTGTGATAATTTATTATTTATATTTATTGAGCACATATTTTTTGGTGTGTTAATGGTACGAGTAATTACATTATTTTGTGATAATGTCTGAATTATATTCATGTGATGGCAGAGAATGTAAATTACTAGATACAAATACGGAGTATATTTTTAAAAAAGAAAAATATTATAATACTAATATCAAATACTCCGTATATATATAATTTAACTAGGTTTCAGCCGACACTCCCATCTTGTATTTGTAGTTCATTGGTAACTTTTGTAATTTGTATTACAATTTTGTAGCCTATACTCTATAGGCTTTGTATTCTTGATTAAATGACACTTTGAAATCTTGTTTTTAAGTAATTAATGTCTTTATTCCCTGAGTTGTGATATAAGTGGGTTTTTAATAGTTCATATCTATTTGTTTCGTCTGAATTTATTTTAAATGAAATAAGTCAAAATAAATTAAACAATAACACTAATAACTCGAAAATAACATAGATCCTAACTATTATGATGATCTCTACTATTCTCCCTACATGCCAAATCAATTATACGTGATAGGTTCCAATTCAATCCACTCATTAATTGTCTATGTAATTAGTAATTACTAGATAGATCTCCAATAACACCACGTCTTCAAGAAAATTTTATGATTAAGGGTGTCACGCCGCATAATATATTACACGAGCCTACCAAACTCCAACTAATCCGATAACGATGCAAGAAATTTAAACGTTGACAATGTTGCATCGACCCCATACCTTAAGCTAAGGCTATCCGTTAAGCCGTTAGCTAGTTGGTTGTTAAGTTCATTCCCATTTAAGACTCTCTATGACAAAAGAATATTCTTCGATTCTATGTTTGGTATTAGTTTATGCCATATGCAATCTATTTATATACTACGTATTTAACGCGTAATTGTACGATTGTATATTTGTTAACTTCTTTTACCTTTTTTTGTTGGTTTATTTTTTTCATTTTTTATTCAAGTGACACCAATAATTACGGGGTATGTCAAAATATAATGGTTTTGCAAGTTGCTAACCGTTTTGGGTTCTCTTTCATACTCTTCTGTCTTATCACGTGAGATCTAATGTTTTGTGCTGAAAAAAAAAATGTTTTAATAATCTGTACGATAGTATAAAGTAGGAATGGATTTGATGAACTGAAAAGGAGAGATAGTGTTTAATCATACGTACTAATTAACATTATTAGTGCATGCGTCAATAACGCGTTTAATTAATTAGCTAATTAATCTGATTAAATTTTCGTCCATACATCGTATATATGTACCATATACAAAAACTTTAAGAATATTTTAAGATTAATGTATAAAAGGCTATAGGTTTTAATGACCACACAGTGGAGAGTTGCGTGGGTGAATTGATGTAGAGAGTACGGATTAAGCCTTATAAACCTTAATTTAACTCTTAAAATAGGCCCCAACTAATAACTCTAAATCATACATAAATTTAGAGTTTATGATTTGGTAATACCTTCAAAACGAACTAAACCCTAACCCAATTATAAATAAATTTGATAAAAATACAATACAACACTATTTTATTTTTTTATATAGGGACTTTGAATTTCTTCTGTCCTTGGTAATTGATTAGGAAAAAACATCGTCATTTAACCTTAGCTATAATATATTGGGATCTTTTCATCCTCTACTTCGTTTTGTACTTATACTATAAGGTATATTGTACGCCCAAGCACAACTATATTGAAACCAGACTCGTTGACATTGCACATTTGCAATTTAAAGCTATAATTATTAGTGACAATTTTGCAACTACTTATCTTAATTTATGTATTTCAAGTGATTATGCAAAAGCGTCAAATATTGCGATTGTTGGTTCAAAATTTGTGAGTATGAGTGTAGTTTCTATAAATAATCTAATATCTATTTCTTCTATCACCTAGTTTTAGAAGATATATAAACTTTATGGCTTGGTATAAGCTTAAATTTGCTCTAACTCCCACATCCCCACCCCTACACACACCTTTACATTCCCAAACAAGTGGTTTAGAAATTAATTTGCTTGGCTTAGTATGGATCATATTAAGGCATGATTAAGTATTAGGTTTATGTGGGTCTATAAGAAAAATTTCATCAAGAGGATCAATTTCTTTTTCTTAATAATACTGGTAATTAAGCGTGTAATAAGGGTATTTTGGGTACATCAAGATGTCCTAGAGTCTATGTCCAATTGTCCAAAAGTCAGAGGGCTCCGCCTTGCAAAGGTATGCCCGAGAACTCCGCCTTGATGTCTGAGAGCTCGGCTTGCAAGAAAGAGAACGCTAGCTGCCCCGGGGGTGTGATTCGAGAAAGCCCCTCCGATGCT